TGTTGCGGAAGCCAAATGTATATAGTGTGAATAAGTCACAACTACTATACCAAAAATTATGACAGCCACCAAATAATAAATAAGACAATAAAGCAACAATAAAAGGAACACCAGAATTTACGAGGTTCGGCTAATTTTGCCTACTCCTCGGACACAACCAATATTTTATTCCACTCCAAAAATACAAGTGAAATAATACTAAAGAGAGAAGATACAAATGCCTTAAGAAGATAAGAAGGCAAATGAGAGGTGTGTTTAAATCCTAAACATTAGGCCTTCTTTTATTGGTACTTCACCGATGTAGGACTATGGCACTCAACAAAACCAACTTATCAAATAAACTCTATAAATCACTAACCTGAATATAAGGGAAGTATATATCCTTCAGTTGGTATTGTAACTGCTGTATGCTTTCGCTTCTCATCTTTAGATGAAAAATTTCAACCTGTCAATAAGGTAAGGAACAATGGTGTTCAAAAGCTGATTATATACTTTCACCAACAATTCCATAACATGTTTGAGACTTATTTCATGGAACCTTTTATTGCCACAATTAAATCGAAATCATTGATGTTCAGTGAGGTAACATATACCAAAACAACTAAGCATTTAAAGCATCAAAATGCTATGAGCAGCCTAAATCCAAACCTAAAACGATTACAAACATTTGTTCTTCGTAAAAATAATTTGGGAAACACCACAATAATAAGCCATTTCAAAACAATTTAGTAAATGGGATTATTTTTCAGAGACATTGAAAAAGGTCTCAGTCCATGGAGGATGCAACCAATCATAACACTATGAAGAACTACAAAGATTGGACTGAAAGGATCAATTAGAATATCACTCATATCATGCTAAATTCTATTCCGAATGAAGATGATACTAAAGAACTCTAATAATAAAAGGGTCAGCAAGAGTCCGGAAGAATATTTTACTTTAGTGAAGCTACCATCAGTTGATTCTCGAATCTCATCTTCCAAGGGGTCTCTAACACTTCCATCGGTCTAAATGAAAGGAAAAAGATATAAACTTACGAGGATAAGATAAAGAGAAAGAACTGCACACAAAGATGAGAGGCAAAATGATAAGAAGATAGCAATATTAAACAATGATGAGCACCTTCCAAGTGTGTTGAGAAGAAGAACAGCTGAGCAGAGATTCTCTCTCAAGATGTAACACAAATACTTTCTTAGACTCCTTTGTCTTTGAAGAAACTGAGGCTCGTCTACAAAAAGGCAGCAAGATGAAAATAAGTCCTTTATTTTGTCCAAAATGAAGTCATTAAACTTTAGCAAGACATACCTTCCCAAATGCATAGATGCAATAGGTCCTCCATAACCAAACATACCAAAGAAAGGCTGTAAAAATAATCGCCATGTCAGATAACCTATAAACAAAAGTCAGCCAAGAGGATGGAGACATAGATAGATACAGAAACAAAATGTAGTTGGATTCCTTGCTTGCTAGTTGGATGAATTAAAAATCAAATTACGTAAGGTGAAAATAGTCCAAGCTTTTATTAAGAGATAAAGAGCATTTGAAGAAAAGGGAATAAAAAAGGAAGATAGAAAGTTATTTAAGTACAAGTTGGTAAGATTTCAAAGATATATCTAGAGAAACAATTATATTTTCTATTTTAATACTTGTAATGCTCTTGTTGCTTGGTTTTTTCCGTATAAAATAGTATAAAAATAGGTCTTTTCCATTATCGATAGCTGACTATGATTTTCTGCTTCTGCCTCCAATGGATTATCAACTATCAACAAAATTATGCAAAGAGTAGTGTGTATATGGGGCTAAACCTTCAAATCGACAGGTATATAAATGTCAAAAGAATAACTCACAATTGTTCCCAATATAGAGCCTTACAAGGAAAAGAATTGCAAAGTAAACAAATATCAAGTTGAAGTGGGATAAAGGTATGTCTTGATGTCTCGTTATCAGATGACACTAAATCACAACAAGAACTTTACGTAGAGGCTGCTCTTCATTGGAATAAGTACAAACTCTAGGCAACAATTGTCATTTCGTGATTTTTTTGCCAAAATGGATGCAAAAGGATTTTTATGCCCATCTTACTGATCACGGGAAAGACAGTCTTGGAGAACCAATAATTTGAAGACACTATGAAATGGTAGAAATGAGTATGTCATTGAAGATTCAAGAATTCTCAAAAATTGAGATTATCTTGTGTTACTGAGTTCATTTATGTTCAAAACATTTAAGAGACAACATACAGGATACTTCACAGAGCCAAGTTGCGGGGAAATGACAAGACCAAAATCAGGCATGAGTTCATTACAATGAGTAACTACCGGTCTCTAAGTTCTAAGCTGGACTTGTTACCAGGCCGGATATTTCAAAACTCAACAACTGCACAGTAAATAGATATCTAATTCTGTGTATTGGAAATCCATTTCTAATAGAAGTCTTTTGGATAGGGTTAAACAAACTGTATATTGGAGTTAAAAAATAACCATTAAGTATGGAGGTTTTCCTCCTATGCCTTTGTATCTCGATGATCTATGAAGAGAAGCTCCCATCTTTCCCCTGAAAACATACGACATCACAGAATAAAAATAATAAAAGAATAAAATAACATTGAAAGTGCATTAAATAACAGTAAAGATGAACTATGAAGAGAAGCTCCCATCTTTCCCCTGAAAACATACGACATCACAGAATAAAAAAATAAAAAAACAATGAAAGTGCATTAAATAACAGTAAAGATGAAAGAACTGACAACGTAATTCAAGAGGACAGTATCAGGTTTCTAAGCTGGCTTTGAGATAGAAATCACAAAAGAATTGAATGAAGATAGTTGCAGTTAAGGTGCAAATTGGTAAAATACATGCAGCTTTCTCACTGCATCAACTCTTCAGTTCTATTTATCTGATTTGCAGTCTAGACAAACTATGTGCAGTGTATTGATCACTTTCTGGAGACCCTGAGTGTTACAGAAGCATTTTACTCTTTGTTTTGATCTCTCATCGCAATGCATCAAGCCATCAAAGAAGTGCATGAGTTTCTTTTTGACATCCTTTATTTAAAAGAAGACATTAATCATTTAATCGTTGTTCCCATATCTGTTACAAGTGGTTTTCCCTCAATTAAAGATAAATTCTTTCAAAACCAAATGATAGTCATTGCAACAAATAGACCTAGCATAAACTATTTTTTTCGGTAAGTGCAAATAGACCTAACATAAATTCAAATAGCAGATACAAAAACAGACCTCTGATTTTTTCTGGAAGTTATTTTCAAAAGAACAACACACGGAAGAAAAATAATCTATCTATATGTGAGAGATATCTTGATGCATCAAAAGTAATGGTCTAAAACAGTCAAAAGAAAAGAGAAATTAAGGCGTTTCTGCGGAAAAGTTATTCATCCATATAACTTAAAAACTTGAACCATCTAAGACACCAACCTCAAGAAGAAGAACCTTATGCAACACATAAGAAAGTATTTATTAATTTAGAACTCAAAGTTAACTTACAGCCTTAGTCCACGTCATTCTGATAACTCATAAGTTCCAAGTTAAATCAGTGAAAGAACAACTTACCACTTGACTATAGAGTTTTCAGCACTTCCATCCATACCAGGGCCTGTATCAAATATTGTAATCCTCTTCTCAGTTAACTCTAGACTGCAAAATAAGAGAATCAGTGAACGTTTTCAAGGAGTATGAGATACGAGCTATTAATCAAGATAATCAACATCTTGTACAGAGCTATTGATCAAGACAATGATACAGCCGTATGCGCCATTTAACATAATAGATTTACATAAGTTAAGTGAAAGCCATTGAAAGAAAAAAGTAGGACCAACAGGAAATAAGACGATATCCAATCTTAGTAAGATATGGTCACGATTAAAAAGAAGAGCAGAGCTACACAACTACTGCCAACATCAGGTCAAACAAATAAGTGTGAGCACAGGCAGAACACGATAAGAATAAATTATAAATCCTTGGAATTCATTGTTAGGCGGCAATATCAAAAGGATCGTTTAGTTAAGAAGTTAATTGAAGCATGAACTGAATTGAATAGGAAAATTGAAACCATCCTGTATAATATCCGAAAATAAAAAAGATGGCACACTTGGAAGGTGTTAAAATGATTAGAAAAATGAGTTACAAGTTTCTTTGGTAATTAAATTATCCAGTTTCAGGGAAGATTCATGTGAACTTTAGTATGCAATTTAACTGAACAAGACAAAAACAAGATTACATGTTACGCAGGAGAATTTTTCGGGATCACCATTTTAGGAAAACACTTGACACTCGCTCCCAAGATGAACAATATATCGGTATACTCTCAAGTATATATTAACATCTTTAAAAAAAATCAGTCTTCAGTAAATATCACACTATCTCCGGTCTTTAAGAATTTTATAATTTAAGAATTTGAATTGATTACATGCTTTATTGAGCTATCCAGCTTCAAAGTTCCATACCTTATTAATCTCCTCTGGTTTGCATGATTAGACCATACAGCCTGCAATGAATTATCCTGATATACAGTTGACATGAAGTTAATGCTTATAATGATGAACATAAATAGAGAAAGTTATGTGCAATATTAGATTCTTACAATCAAATCTGCAAGTGCAGTTTCAAAAGTATATTCTTCGGGTAGCTCCTTCAACAAATCAGTATCCGGCGTAAGATCCCACATATTCTGTCAAATGCAACCATACACTCATTTAACATATAGATAACATATATTCTTGAATAGCAAGCAGACAGAGACTGAAGTACCAACCTCATATTTATCTGCTTCAGCTGAACCATCCTGTATGGAAAATAGAAATAACAAAAGAGTAACTTCTGTGCACTAACAACGTAAAAATATTCACATAATTAGGTTTTGCATTAGGTAATTCCAGGTTTAAAAAAATATTTACACTCTCAGTGCATAAGGCCCCATTTGTCCAAAAATAAGTGTCTGTTTAAAATGCTCAAATAAGTGTTTTGCTTATCAAATTGGCCAACTTCAAACTTCAAATATGGAATTTGAAGTTTGAAACATAGGTTTTAGGTTTTCAAAGTTTTTTCACTCAAAACCTTCAACTATGTTTTTATGTTCAAATACAACTTCAACTTCCACTTTATTTTTCAATTAAACTTCAAATACTACTTTTTTAAAATTAAAAAAAATACCAACCGATAACAAAAACAAACGGGACCAAAATAAACGAGAAATTTTGAAATAATGAAAGCCAAAATAACACAGACATACACAAAGCCTTAACATATGAGACTTGTAATTAGGCTTAAGATTCCGGAAATCCAACGTCTTTGTTATCTTGTTCTCAAAAGCATCTACAAAATGCAAATCCTTGCTCGTCCAATAAATCTGCCTTTTGGACTTCAGGCCGAACTCTGTTCTTCCCCCAACATTTATGCATTCTCGCTTCACTACAATAATAAAGTCCTCAACCGGTATTTCAGTGGGCGGTTTACGTACTTGCAACTCCAAAGTTATACCATTTGGCAACAGAACCCGAAAATAATAAACTTTTTCTTCAATACCAACTTCCTCGTCTGAATCAGTTTGGATTCTTAGAGCCCTAGTTGGTTTCTTCCTTGGCGTTTCTGCTGAAAAATCTTCACTCTGCCTTTTGCTCGACCTACCACAAGTCAAAAACAAATGGTAGTTACATGAATAATCGATGCCTCTTAAAATCAACCTTAGCGAAAGCCTAGGTTTAAAGCAAAAACAATATGCTAAACACTCGAAACATAAAATGATATACTAATACAAATCAGTAAACACACTTGCTATACTGATACAAATCAGGAAACACGCAACACACACATATACATATGACATATATATATATATATAGCATCTCAAAACAAAAACAAGCGATATAAAGAAAATGCAAGCAACAAAGACGGGAGAAGATATAAAAAAACAAACAAACAAGAAAACAGATTTTATACCAAATAAATTAAAAAAGAAGAGATTTTGACTGATCCTTGACTTGAGTCAATCAATGTTTACTATTTATAGTAATACTATACACGTATGACGTATGCATGGAAGAATAATAGAATGAACAATTTTTTAATTTGTGTATATAGATATGTGAAAGAAAACTTGATTAAGTGACTTACGTTTTGTTTTCTTGCATCTTCAAAATGTGATCTGCAGAAAATGGATTTTGCAAGGGTTACAGAAAGAAGAAATACTAATAGAGAAGGTTTTGGGAGAAAATGATGAGAAAGAATTGGAAAAGACTGCGGGTGGGAGTACTAGCATGCAGCACAGGCCTGAACGCTATAGTGGCCAGCTGGCGCAGTACGCACCCTTTTTGTCTGTCTGTTTTTTTTCTGGGGTTACTATTAGGCGCAAGTTAGCATTTATATTCTGGAAATAGAGACGGCGAATATGGGCACAGCTATATTGCGCCCAATGATCATTGAGCACCGCAAATTATCTGAGGCCACGTGTCTTGTACCGTTTGAAATACCTGGCGTTAAAAGTGTGGAAGGAATTTAAACAAGAAGTTTTATTCTGTGTATCCGAGACTTCTTTTTGTGGACCCCAATTTTATATTTCTGAATTCACATAAATTTGAATCCACAAAATTATGAGATAAAAAAATTATCTTACACAAAATTATGAGATAAAAAAATTGTCTTATATAAATAATGTCAATTATATATGAGACACAAAATAAAATTTTCCAACTTTAACGGACAAAAGGAAGTGGGTCCGGCTAGCTGACCTGTCAAATGTGACACGTTGATTGCTCACACCCTGCTTTCCTCAGCATTTTTTATCTCCTTTTCTCAACAATTGTACCACGTGTCCAAAACCTAAATGGCAAGTTTTTGGAGTTAAAATAGGTTTTTAAAGTTTTAAAAAAAAATTATATTTTTATCTAAAATACGGTATTATACTGCATTTTATATCATATGTGCTTAGTTCCTATCATGGGAAAACGTGTACCTTGTATTCTGGGGAAGCACAATATACCACAGAATACTTTTTCCTTCTTTAATTGTGTGTGTGTGATATACTTATATATTGAAAAGATTGGGCCTACCTCGTTGATTCCTCTTTTTTGGACTTTCCAAATTTATTTATGTTTTTACATAATAATAGGGTGTTCTTAGGTGCATGATTGAGGTTAGAATAGTAGATTGCAACTGTATCAAATTAGTTTAGTTCTTTAAGAAAACAATAGGTAACGTTTTGTTTTATATTAGTCTTCTTGATTTAGCTAGTGATTTAATTAAGACTAATTAACAATAATTAGTCGTTGGTTTCTTTCGTTTTCTTTTTCTAATAGTATCTAACTTGTACTAGTAGATTCCTTCTGATACCAACTAATCTGAAATTTTTTGTGCTATCCAATAGCGTTTTTGATTTAGACAATAAAAAATTATCTGTTGGGACTCTCAAGGGGCCGTCATAATATTTAAGCAATTAACTATTATTAGTACCCGCGCGATAAGCGAATACAAATTATGTCAAATTGTGATTTAGGTTATTTGAATCATGTGCAGATAACCTTAAAATATAAATCTCTTAGATAAAAATTATATAACATTAGATGTTAATAAAGAAGCAAGATATGAAATTATTGTTCAAATCTCGTATAGACCATGTATTTTTTCTACATCTGCAGCAACCTAACCGTTTGATTTTAGTACTTGCATTTCGTTTTGCTGTCAATATTAAAGAATACTAAACATGTCATATTGTGATCTGTCTTGTTTGAGCACATTAAATTATATTATTTTAACAAAAATTTTACTATCACTTTGTTTTTTCCGAAAGTCAAATAGTATGTCTTATTCATCACATCATTTTTACGCAAATTCCTTTTTCTTTTTGTTCTTTTCTTATAGCTCGAAGAATCTCAATTCAAGAAGGAGATAAAATTGATTTGATAAATCAATACTTGGAAAAAGTGAAAAGAAACTTGCTTCAGTCACTGGATCAATGCGAAAAATCAGACACTTCAATGCGAAGTGAAACAAGTGGTGATGACCTCATAGAAGATACACAACCAATACAGCCAGAGGTAATATTATCTGACAGAGATATAGAAAAGGTGGAAGATTTCCTCCAACAAATGCATAATTTGGACAAGAAAAAGACTTGACAGCTTACCAGCCGCCAGGACCCACTCAACAGTAGATTCACTGTTCATCCACAGTAGAAACATTGTTCAACAACAGTAGAAACACTGTGTAAGGACCCAGAGGTGGGACCCAATTTACTATTTTAGATTCTTTTCTTTTTGTTATATAAGAAGACTTCTTCATTTGAAGAAGGAGGAGTCGGAACCCCCTCTCTCTACTCTCTCTCTACACTCTCTCTCTCTCAACTCCCTTTGTAAAGATTTAGCTTATTAGTTTGTAAATCAGTTGAAGTTTAATAAAAGTTTTGAAGTTCAGTTCATCTTCAGGGCCTTGCTTCTCGGCCTTCAAGGTATTTATTCTATTTATTTTTAGTATTTCATATACTTAGTTTCTCTCCCCAGCCGTGACTATGTCCGGCTAAATGGATTCATATCTATGTTGAAGAACTAATTTCTCTTGCATATTAACCATGAAGAATCCAGACTCTTTCAAAATATAAAGGAATTTTAATATAGTTTCTTGGTTTGGTTCCAAGATGGTGGTACAGTCGACTCTGGTACTACTCTTATTGGCTTTGCCTTAGTGGCTACGTCTAGCCAGCTGTGACATTAAAGCCCGCTGAAACTGTCAAAAGGGCTATCCCTTTCACAGTTAGAACTGCTAGACACATGGGCTTAGTAAGAGTATGTATCGGAGCTGGACATGCCCCTTGCTTGGGTAAAAGGATATAGATCCTTCCATACAGTCATTACACTATAATAGAATTCCCGTATATTTCGAAGTACTAATGGTCGTGCGGACTACCGCCAACCTTTAAACGGGTACTAAAGCAGCTAGATGTGGATGGTCGTGCGGACTACCGCTCGCCAACCCTGATCCTGGTGTAAATGGTATCAGAGCCTAGGAATTTTCATGGTAAATGTGTAATAGCTATGAAAGATTCAACATAGATATGAAGCTTATTGTATGGATCTGGGAGAAACAAGTACTAAAGGTACTAGACTTGAAGAGGTAGATATACCTCAAAACCTTGATTTATTAAATAAATGGACAATTCCTAAAATTTCTATAAAAACCATTTATGATTATGGTTGGTTTGATAAACTTTCTTCTAAACAATTGATAAAAACGATTGAGCAGTCTTTAGCATTAAATTCGTCTGAACAGACTATTCGTTTGTTAAACAAACATGATATAGATTTATATAAACATCATTACCATTATCTGCATATTGGTATGGTTCAAATTGCATTTAAACCTTTAACCCTTAAAGGATTACCAGAGACCTTTTTAGCAGCTCTTAGAGATGCTAGAAATCTGAATTTCAGACAGTCTCTAATGGGTTCGATAGAATCTACAGTGGCCTATGGTCCAGTATATTTTAATACTCAACCCAATCTGCAACTATCTCTTTCTAATGTTAATATTCTTGATGCTCTGACTTTAAATGTGAAAACGCATGGTTATAATTATGCGCCTGGTTCTGAACTTATATGTCTGTCCTATAGGATTTATTTCAAATTATTATCTACTTTGAATCCTAGATGTAAGTTATACGATACTTCGGATCAGACCATATTGGTCGAAACCAATTTTGCAAAGTCCAAGGTTACCACTAGGAGACCTATCAGGTGGGAGGAAATTAATTTTCCAACTACATGGACTTTAAATTCAGTCATATCCCCAAGTCAGATTACTAACGACTTGTCAAATACTGAATTTTCGCATGTTACTCAAAATCCAGATGGTAGGATTTGTATTCAATTTGATGATAAGTCTACTATTTATAATAGACATTCATTTTCTAATCATAGACTCCTACCTGCTATTCAACATATTTCCCCTGTTGAACCAGTCTACGGTCCAGCTCGCAATCGTGCAGCTTCTTTACACACTATTGCTAGTGATAAGCCTGATCAAAAGGTTAAGAGGGTTGAAAGGGTTAAAATTAACCCTCAAACAAATATTGTCCAAGACAATGACAATATTTCAGATAAGGATATTCCTTCTGTATCCGAAATGGATTTCGACCCCAATAATATTTAATGATTCCACACCAAATAGATTTTAGCCCCGATTCTCGGGCACGTAATTATATTCAAAAGGAATTTTTTAGTAATAAGTGGAACCAGTTTAAAACATGGTTTTTTGATACTTATAACAAAGATGATTTAAATCCCAATTAGGTGACTTCTGTACCCAGTTCGGTTTACCCGGAACTTCCACTCAAAGTAGGAAGAAGAAAAATAGATATCATAAGTATCCTTACCCGGATAGCCCGTATAAGAAAAAGAGGTCTAGATATAGGCCTAAGGAAGAACGTGATACTAGAAAAGCGCATCGGAAATCTACTCGATTTACGAAGAATAGATCTAAACGAGATCTCGCTGATATCAAGTGTTATAAGTGTGGAAAGTTTGGTCATATTTCTCCAAATTGCAAGCTTCAAAAGCTAAAAACCTTAGAACTCGATGATGAGTTACACGATAAGGTTTATGGCTTGTTATACACTTCAGGATCAGAATCTGACTATTACTCGGAGACTGAATCTGAAGCTGAAATTGAGTTAATTGTTTTTTCTGATAATAATAAAAATACTGATACTTCTTGCACTGCTTGCAAAGGTGATATTTGTACTTGTGATAGTGACGAATTTTATAAATTACAATCACAATTTGATGATCTAAATATAAAAACTATTACATCTGACAATGTAATAGAACTTTTAAAAGAAGTTACTGATGAAAAACTTCGTGAAAAAATTATTAATTTAGCTACAAGTTCTAATTCTAGTAGTTCAAAATCTTTTGAAAAATACAAAAACGAATTTGAACATTTTTCACCTTATTCTTTATCTGAAATTAATAGAAAACAAGTAAATCCCAACAATAAGAGTGAATACCTAATAAGATTTCATTCTGGTAAATGGACCGAAGCCCAGAAGAAATATGCTACTGTGGCACATGAAATGTTAACAATTGTTAAATGTGTTTTAAAATTTCAAGACGACTTGTATAACCAAAAATTTTTGATAAAAACTGATGCTCAATCTGTTAAATATATATTTGACAAAGATTTTAAGCACGATGCTTCTAAATTAATATTTGCTAGATGGAAGGCTCAGCTGGCGCCTTTCGATTTTGAATTACAATACAAAAAAGGAATTGATAATTCCCTTCCGGATTTTCTATCCCGGGAATA